CAAAGCCAAAACTGATGCAATTCCTACTATAATGCATTTAGGCTACAACAAAAGTTAACTAGAAAAGAGGAAGCCCCCTTGTTTATAACCTACCATTATTCAGTACATAGCAATTTGCAGAAGGCTTCCTTGTGCAATTAAGTCTTTTTTAAATGACAATCTCAGTGGTTATTTTTCTGTATCTCCTAGAAGTTAAAATTAAAATCTTATCTGGAGAGGCAAGACTTTTTTTTTCTTTTCCCAGTGGGTCAGTGTTGTAGTTATGAGGTCAGAGGTAACAAGAGCTGCAAAACACTCAATGCCATAGCCCCAGCTTGGCTAGATCAATTCCTTATAATTGCCTCAGAACAACTTGTACGCAAATCAATTGTTATTACTGCCTGTAAACATTGTGCAGGCAAACTTTTCTCGCTGGAGAAAATTATACAGAAAGAAATGTCTGAATCTTTACGTAGTGTTTCTTTACTATAATGAAATAAAAATGGCTTCCACATAAAGATTTATGGCAAGTTAGAAATCCCTAGATTCCACACTGGGTGCTACACATATTGGCTTAACGTGGTATATAAATGAAGCAAATGCTTCTCAAAAGAGAAAAAAATTTTATTTAAAAAATGTTAAAACAAGATGTGGTTAAAATTTGGGTGAAGAATTTATTTTAGCAGGAATGAAAAAAAAGAAAAGAAATGAAACTGTGTTGTATATAAATCCTCAATTTTATTGAAAATTTATATTGACTGACAATCATGGAATCAGAATAGATATGTTGGTATGGAAGTTAATCTAAAAGGGGCCAATATTGGGAATTTATGCCCCAAATGAAGATAACACAGCATTTTATAAAGGACTTATGGATAAACTTTCTATATGAAAAGTGGTGTCTCCTGAGAGATTGGAATGGGATGGTTACATCAGAAAAAAAAAAAAAACTTCTAAGAAAAATATTAAAAACACATAAGGTAAAGTGCCAAAGGATTTTTTGTATGATGATGATGTTATCCATTCAGTCATGTCTGATTCTTAGCAATTCTGTGGGCCAACTCTTTCCATATCTTCTGATCTTGTAGCACTTCTTTGAGTTTTCTATGCTCTGGTTTGTTTCAGCTTTGATGGTGTCCAGTCACTGTATTCTTTGATGGCCTGATTTCCTTTTGCTGCAAACTCTTCCAAATATAATTGCTTTCTTCAGTGAATTCCCCCGCATGACATGGCCAAAGTAAGTGAGAGACAGTTTCGTGATGTCTGGTGTTATGTGCTCCAGTACTTGCTTGTTAGTCACCTTTGCTGTCCAAGGAATATGCAGGAGCCTTTTCCAATAATGAATAATATGGAGTTTGTTTATGTATATAAAAAAACAGTGACTCAAAAGAACATACCCATTATTCTGAAAGACATATATCTTTTTCAACAACAGAGATTATTTGGATTTCTAAGACTCTGGCCATTAATTTCAAAAAGTGAAGACATTACCAGAACTTTTCTTAGGTAACAATCCAGTGACTTTAAGTTTGAAAAAGAAAATGGCTCTGATCGGAAGCCTTTCATGAACTTTTTGCATAAAAATAAGTAAAAGAACTTATAATTTATGATGATTAGATAAGATAGTTTATTTATAGAAGAAAAATATAATGTAAGTTTAGTGAGAGGAAATATATTTGGAGTTTAACTGCTGTGTAGAATATCAGAAGCCATGTCTTTTGATCTTTATAGCTTTTCCCCCCTATTTTCTTCTACATTTTTTCTTATTGCATTCAGCTTTTTCTGTTATTTCTCTGTTATTTCATTTGTTCTTTTTTAGTTTGCATTAAAATCTTTCAATAAAACTTAAATTTAGATATAGATGTAGATATACCATAATGAAATGGAAATGTCCTCAAATGATGGACGGCTATGATTAGATGGCTTTGGGTTTATCAGGATTTCTGAATCCAGCAGATTTGATAGAATTTGAGTTAGAACATGCAGAATTAATATTATTGACATTGATATTTTATGTATGATAGCTAAATACATTAATTGAGGCCATCAGTGTGTATTTCAATGGCATTGGTACTCTGGTATTCAGAAAACCTGACACTCTTCACATGAGTGCTTCAGTTAAGCTCTAACTTCCACTGACATAACTCAATTGTGGAATGCCTACATCCCTATTTATCTTCCTGCTCCATTAACTACACTGGTTGCCAGTTTGCAAGGTGCTCACCTCTAAAACCCTTCATGACATAGAGTCTGGTTATCTGTGATGGTTTCTGCTCTCCCAGTAACATTGGGTACAGTAGGCATACTTCAGATCCTTTCAATTAAACATTATCCACAGAAGAAATATAACTTCTCTGGAGCAGCATGTGCTTTCTGGAACAGCATTACCTAAGAGATTCATATTGTTTCCACTCTAATGGCATTCCAAAAGTTGTTGCAAACTTCGTTTTGCCTCTCAGGCATGGGGCAGGGTAGCTACCGAGTCCGTTAGTTCATTTGGGGGTGTTGTTTGAAGTATTGTTTGTTCTTCTGGATGTCAGGGACTTTTCTTCTAGTTTCTGCCATCTTTTATTTTATAACATAAACTAATCTGAGAAATCTGGACTTAGATGGCCATAAATCTAAATAAATAAATGACCTTCTGATCTATATGTTTTAACATGATTTAGGCTTGAGATGTTAGCGGTCATTTGTTTATTTGTAAACATATCTGTGAGAGCTAAATCAATCTAGTATCATTTTGGTCAAAATCTTTCCAATTTTGCCTCAATAGAAGAAAATATAAATAGCTGATGGTTGAACTGTGTATGATAAGCCAAGTGCTACAACTCTCTCAATTACAACACATGGCATCACCATAGAACACAAGCCAACTAAAGCCTTCTTAAGTAAATCAAAAGACCCAGTAGACCCTGGAAGAAAAAAACAGGTGTCACCTATAACAGAGATCCCCAACCCATAGGCCGTGACCCACTACCGGGCCGCAGCTGGTTCAGAACCAGGGCGTGCAAGTGGTGGATGAGTGCAGTGGCAGGTGCATGTGCAAGCACATAAAGCTCTATTTGTGTGAGTGGTAGGTGCACCTGCTCACCTCTTGTACAAATGGAACTGCGCCACTTGCACAGAACCATTCCCTCTCCCCCCCACCAGTCCACCAAGCCAGAAATGTTGGGGATCGCTGACGTATAACATGCAGTGCAATAACTGTAACAAGCACTAGGTAGGACAGACAGGCAGAAGACTAGGAAAGTGCATCCATGAACACCAATTAGCAGTCAGAAGATATAATGCAAATTCCTTAATCTCACAGCACACAGTCTCACAGATTCAACTATAGTTTCAATTCGGAAATTAAGCATTTTAGACCAAGATAAATACAAAAAATGCTATGGAATTCCTGGAAGCTTGGCTTTAGGAAAAATCAGCCATAAAAGACAGACAGACAGAGACATATTTTCATGTCATTCAAAAGAGACAATAAAACAGCTAAGAAGGAAACAAAAAGACTACAACACATCCTCTCCAGAAGCCAACACCCAGATAAGCAGGGATTAACACCTGGCAAGCAGAAAACAATAGCCTAAATCAAAGGACTACTGAGGAAAAAAAACCCTCACAACCCCACCTAAACTGGCAGGCCAAACTACTGTATATAAACAGGGAACAAAGCCCCTACATACTAATGCTGATGGTGTTACATAGGTGGGTAATGAAATGTCTTCAAGTAAATAACCAAACTCAGGGTGCACCAAGGACCCCACACTTTTGCCTTGGTTCATTGCTGATAAAATGGAAATATTAAGTGATGTTATAATTGTTATTATTGTGAGGCTGAAAAAGATGAAAAATGTAACACCATGAGTAAATACAATTATTTACAATTAAGTATATTCCTTTAAGACTGGGGTACTTTTCTTTAACTCTACAAGTATTGTAACATTGTGATGAATCTCAAGAGCCTCTCTATTCCAATCTAAATAACTTCCTATTAATATTTCAATTAAGCATCGTTATTTTTTTGCCTGTACCTAGTTAGAATAGAATTCAATGAGATATATTTGGAAGGGAAAGAAAAATCAATGTCTCTTGTAGCTATTACTAATACTAGAATATGGAGTTTCACAATGCCATTTGATCAACTATGTGCATCATTAAGCTGACATAAACATCCTCCCATACCCTGTAATACTTCTTTAAAAGTAGAAGAGCAGAGCAGGAACCCCACTGGATTTCCCTTAGCAACCTGACAAGAGCCCACAAGGTCAGCTAGCAGGAAGCGCAGAAAATTATACAGTAGGGAATTATCAGCTAAATTATTTCACTATACTCAGGATTTTTTTTTTTTACTGTTTCTCTCATGACAGCAGCCTCTTGCTAGTTGTAATAGAAACATGCATAAAAGGACAGAAGTGACATGGGGAGGGGGAGAAAAAGAGAGCGAGAGAGGAAAAAAAACCTTCCACAAAGCAAGCACGCTCCCAATCTTTTTACACCGAATTCTCAAAACCATACCTGGAGATTGTTGCTCTAATGAACAATGGAATCTTTTTAAAGGAATCAAATCTAGTTCTATAACTCCTATGCACAAAATATATGCTCCCAGGTGTGTGTATGGTCCTCAGATTTCAAGATCACACTGTTTATTACTCATTATGTGAAGGAAAGACAAGTAAACTGCATATCCACAACTTACGGTTGTCCAAATGTGTTGAGTGCAATTTGCAATATTCCTTACCAGCAAAACCAAAGATGTGTTTGAGTCAGGGGTGGGTTTCACTTACCTTTACTACCAGTTTGCAGTGGGATCGTGCACTTGCTCTCGCTTCGCTTGCTCTTCTGTGCATGCGCAGATCACCAATGATGATGTCATGCCAGGTGGGCGGAGCCTCCCACCGGTTTTACTACTGGTTCTATAGAACCAGACAGAACCGGGAGCAACCCACCACTGGTTTAAGTTCAGAAACTGCACTAACATAGCATGGTCTGTTAGATTTTCATTTTGTACATTGTGTGATTCCGAATCACTGAAAACATAACTATGCTTTATTCAATATATGATATTACACAAATCATGCTTAATGTGGTGCATGAATGCAGTTGTAACATACAGTATCTTGATTCTCTGAAGATAATGAAGAAGAAGTTAAGGAACTTGACTATGGCAATCTTCAGTACACTGATTAACTTCAACTGTTTCCATTTATATTGGACCTCATTTCTCCAGCTCAAGCTCATTTCACCATCTTGGCTAGGAATTCTGGAAAATTTAGTACAACACAATTGAAGGGCGCTACTATTAAGAAAGCTGTTTTATTTTCTATCACATTCTAGCTCCCATGTATTGTGTTTATAAACCAAACTGGCCTTGCTATTGTCTTGGGGCAATTTAATTTAATTTAATCTAATTTAATTGCAGTTCTTGGTTTTATGGTTGCAAACCACTTTGAGGGCATTAGTCAGTTTGGCAATATATAAATTAAACAAACAAACAAACAGCCATGCACACATGCAATATAATAGTTCATTGCCAGTTTTGTTTATAATAATAGCATCTTATAGTAATAGTATCTATGACTTTCAGAATGTGATGCAACATAGGATAGCATTTCTCAATTTAGCCCTCCTAAATATGTTTCAATAAAACTACAATAAATATTATCCAGCCAATTGCAGAGCTGAATTATGCTACAAATCATAAGCTGGTTCATACATTTTGTTAAACAATCTTTTGGGAGAATAGGCCATAAAGGCCTCATTCACTTATCATACTATACTAGAAATCATAATTAATAAATTATAATGAGAGAATTCACTTATTATGTTGGATTAAAATGAAGCAAACCACAGTATAACTTAGTGATGTGTCAACCAGACATACACAATTCTTGCTGAAAAAATATTAGTTTATTGCTTCAAATACCACTATGGCTATCATACCAGGCAATAAAGAAGCAGCCATTGTGTTTTGCTTAATAATAGGAACATGTATTATTTGGATTATCACAATGTCAGTTAGCATAATGATAATCTAGTTTTGTGTTTAAAACCATAATACAGTGATGCTAGAAATCTGCACCTTATTTGAAACGCCCTATTTGAGTGCAAAACAGTAGTTTTATAAGGCAAAACAGTGGGTATTTTTGAGTACCAAAATGGACTCTTTTGATCCTTGTTGTTTGATCTCCAAAATGATCAAAACAGTTTATTCACATTCAAAACAATGTGCTTTGGCCTAAAACATGGCATTTTAAACTTGGAGTGGTTTGAATTCAAATTTTTTGTATGCCATCTATTTCAATTCCAAATTACACCAGTTGCAGTTTTTCCAGCTGTCCGAGTTTGATACATGCCAGGGGTTTAAAAATACATCTTAAGAAGAAAAGACATAAGTCAGTCAGGTTCAACCATTCCTCGTGCTCTTTTCAACAATGATAAATAGGAATGCAACCAAGTTCCTGCTCGGTAGACATTCACTTCAGCACGAGCAATGCTTTCTTTACAGCTTTCTTCAGGTTCCTTTAAGAAGCCCCTGTACAAAAGGACTATATCTATGTAACATCAGTAGTAATAACTGCAGAGGCGACAGATATTCAGTAGTGGGAAATTCTGTATCAATATGCTTCCTGGCTGAACGAGCCTTGTTTATCAATTAACAGATAGTGAAAATATTTTCTGCAATTATAGAGATGATTTCATTCCAATATGAAGCAACACCACATCACTCTACTTCTCTAGGGAAAAGGCAGCTCCTGTCACTATTGTGGAACACAGCTAATTTTAACAGAGTCTGTGTCGGCCTCTTGAGGAATGCCATGTTGATGAAGGAATATACAGTAGGGAACTTCTCAGAGGATCAGGCTGATTGGAGAGCCTCAGGAAAGGTGTGAGGAAATTGCATTTCCTGTTTCTTAGCAGGGTTATTAACCAGGAAAGCAACTTTAATCACTGGAAGACCACTAGCAAGGTTATTTTTTTATATTTAATGTAACAAAACAATATCTGTTATTCCTCAGACGCTTTTTAATCTATATGTCAACACAATCATTTTATGCTCCTATACAGTTGTAAACAACTGTAGGAGTATGTTAAAATGTGAAAGCACAGAATGTATTTTCTGTGATTTAACAAAATCAGTTAGCTTTGTATTATTTTCATCTTTCTTGCGTACTATTAAAGGATGAAAGTAGCAAATACACAGGGTTAATGGTAAACAAGAAATGTACACAAATACCTAAAAATGTCAGGAGGATGTAACAGGGTTAACAAAACTCCTTCAAATACCTGTTGGCATTTTCAGACAGTAAATGCCCAGACAGGCGGGAGCTCTAGCTGCTTTCAGACAATCCATAACGACAGAGACTAGCTTTGTACTTTCATTAGAATACAATAGTAGAATGGCTGTATCACTTCAAAATAAAAGTCTTTATACAATTTTAATGTTTAATTTTCTTGATACTCAAAATAGACTCTATAAATCAAAGTATCTGAACAAAGAGAGATGCTTAGAGTAAGTACCCACTTCCCTAGTCTGCTGTCTTCTTCCAAAAGGTTACTTTTGCATTTTACTGTACAGATGAATGTTCATATTCTCTTTTAATTGTTGTCCAGAGTGGTATAGTCCATTTTTTAAAATTACTTTGGATTTAGCATCTACATACCTCTAGAGCTGCTGATGTTGAGGACAGCAAAGAGAATGATAGGTGTAGTGTGAAGCTGCTGACTGGGTTATAGGTAGCACTGTTGAGGATCTGCAGCATATAGTGGTGAACACAGAATGCAAACATGATAGGAATATTTCAGCCATCTTTCCTGCTATCTAGTAGTCATTTGGATTTTTAAACTCTGATTACTGATTCCACTGACCAATAAGAACTCCCCTCCCTTCCTTTCAATTATGTTTGGTTGCTTGGATTAAGTCCCTGCAGTTTTCTTAGCAAGGTTTTTCAGAAGTGTTTTTCCACTGCCTCCTTCCTAGGACTCTGAGAAAGTGACTAGCCTAAGGTCACCCAACTGGCTTTGTACCTATGGCAGGACTGGAACTCACAATCTTCTGATTTCTAGTCTGATACCTTAACGACTGCACCAAACAGGTACAATCGTTAAGAATATCTACAGGACAGTAAAAATCTATGCCCAAAGATAAGTACCTGGGCATTATGAGGAGATGTAGTTTGGTCTGTACTTAATACTGGAATGCTGTTATTTTTTTTGCTTCGACTTCTATAGAAACAGTATCTTCCTGCTTAGGAGGAAGAAGAATGGAATCTATACTATAATATTTAATTATGGAATAAGGGACATAGCCTTAGAGAGTTTCTTAAGAAAAATATCCTCAATTAATTTTGGGGTGAGGAGTAAGGTGGAGAAAAACTCTCAATACAGGGAATGGGTTTGATTTTTTATTTTGTTTTTGAGAGATTGTGTTCTTAATTTTTAATAATACTCTTGCAAGTAGCTGGGAGACAATGTTTCGTATCCAAGACTGAACATGGAACAGTAAAGCAGAGAAAGTGTTACAACACTCCTTGTACATCTGGGTTTTATGCCAGTACATATGAATAAAAGAGATAAGGAAGAGAGGCAAGGCTGACTGAATATGCTCAGTGGAAACTCATCAGCAGAAACCAAGAAAAGTGATCTTTGAAATTATTAATAGTAAGAGAATGGTAGCAACTTTCCCATTAAAAAACCAAAACCAAAAAAAAAACCTTCTGAAACTAAAATGCTACTCCCTAGAAGGGCCTCAGAACTGACTCAAAATATCTCATAAAATCTGTATACCCATTAATATATGAAAATAATCTTTCATAATTTTCCCTAACCACAATATTTTAAAAGTTGGCTTCAAATCCCCACCCTTGGTAATAAATTTACTGTAGTCCAGATTGTGTACTCACACTCTCTGGTTTGAACTTGGCAAAGCGTCTTCCCTTCAGACAGCTCCACATTGGGCTCTCCTGCTTCCCAAAGTAGAGATGAGAGAAAAAAAATAACAGCTGTGTTTGTTTTGAACATATGATTTTGTTAGGCTTGTCATTTCCACCCTAAAATAGTGGACTAACTCTAGGGCTGAGACAGGTGTACTTACAGTAAGATGAGATTTCATCAAATGATGAAATATGAATTTTGACATCACAATGCAAGCTCTGCCCCATTTGCACTTAGTATAAGATATTATGATTCAAATTGAAAAGAGGCAGAGTTTCTGTTACAAAGCCTGTTTTGTCACTTCCTTCTTTGCCTGTTCACAGATACTCATCAATAGGGGGTAGCCAGAAAGGATATAAGCCCTATTTCCCTCTAGCAGAAAAAGAATAGTAATATGTAATTTTACTGAAGCAATTATTTATGAAATCAGTACATAGTTAAATCTTAAGAATTATACTTCAGTCCTTGGGTGTTCTGGGAAAGGAAAGAAGATGGAAGAAAAGTAAAAATTAGTTGGCTGTGCTTATCACTGACCATCTTTTCTTTGCTCTTTCAGTTCCACTGGACCAATTTTTAATTTACAACCTAAAAGCTACTTTTACTCTTTCTGTCTTTTGCTAAATGCCCAGTGAGAGTTTTGTTCTAGAAGAAGGCTGTCAAAATTTAACCTTAAGGAATTTCTGAAGATTGTTTTAAAACACACACACAGCACATATATACTTATTGGGAAAAAACAGTCATCTCATGTGGTGCATCTGAATACAACATCCAGAATTGTTACCATTACCAAGCCTGCTGAAAATCCTGGGCATTGGAATTATAACATATTTGGAGACACTAGCTATAAAGCTATAAACAGACTGAAATTGCCTGATATTTTTTTGTTTTTAATTCCTGCTATAATTTTCACTGTAGTTTTCAAATTTTGTCAATTACCACATTTAATTGTTATTGATCTTCAGAATTAGTATAATTCTATAATATAGTAAACAAACCATCAAATAATCAGTAACTCAGATTTTAAAAAAATCATAAATATATATGACACTGGAGACGTGGTTGGATATGCACATTTAAATACCTGTGTGTGTACATATATGTCTCAGGAATGCCCTCTTTTGCCATCCAAGCATTATACTAAAAAAGGTGTCTAAGAGTCTAATTTATCTATGTTAATGAAATTTTGATGTTATGCCCTTACTGAAAAAAATGTGTGAGGGTTTTTTTTTGGTAAGAAGACTGGATTTTTATTTTTCATATGTAGCAGGGTGTAGAACTCATAAGGGAACAATTTATTCAATGAATTTCATAGATATTTTCAGTTTACTAATTGCCCTAACAGACTTTTTAATTTGTTCAGTCTTGATAATGAAAACCATGTTTTTTCCTGTGGGTTTTCCCATGATTTCTCTATATCAGGTATTTTCTCTTCCCTCTCCTCAAACTCACTGAAGAGATTCATAAACCTTGCAGGAAATTGAACACTATTTATTTATCTTTCCTCAAACGCAATAGTCCCCTTGCCTTTGACAAAAACAATTGGGTGACTATTTCAGGGAGATGAAGTGAGAGAAGAACATTCTGCATTCAAAAGAACTTTTATGTCAAAATGGAATTATCTGAATGTGGATTAACTCCACAAAATTGAGTGGTAAGCTATTATGCATATTATAACCACTATGTGGAGCAACCACCATCTAATTTTTACTGTGTGTGGTCTTCATAAATTAAGACTTAGATGGATATTGATGCAGCCTCAATGACATGCTTGGTCTTACATTGTAACAAGGAAAAAACAGAAAAAGCTTTTGACAGTGAGACATGCCAGAAGCTCAAACCATTATGTGGTGGCTCACAAGCTGTCTCAATGGCCATACGGTTGTTGATGGCATCTCAACGGAGTTCAACTTCCATTCTCAAAAACAACCAGTCTGCCAAATGCCTAAACTATAAAAATCTTCACATATAAACATTCTGCGTGGGTGGACAATGACTTGTCGTGGCTTATTCTGAAATGCTTTCAAAAGAAAATAGTACTAATGCTCAGTGCAGGTAATCACAATTTTGAAGAAAAAAAAAGATAACCTAGAGTTGCGTTATAATTTTTATAGGTACAATTTGTACCTATCTTTCAGTAGATGAGAGAGGTGGCACACGAGAAACGGATCATTAAACAGTAGTGTGAAGCCAGGGAAATTAACCAGCTGCTGTGAAAGCCACCTCTCTTATTCTCTCAGTGATAGAGAGAAATAAGGCAAAAGAGGGAGAGGAAAAGGGATAAAAAAGGGAGGGACGGTGATAGTAGTGACAATTAAAAATATTGTATTAAATCCAAATCCAGTGATTTCAATGGAATACATAAAATGACAGTGCTTTTACTTCTGAAATGCATGATTTTATGGATTAATAATGTTGTGACCAATCAAAAGTCCAGGCTAGTTCAATGACCCATAGGCACAATACAGTGTAAAATACTAAACCAATGCAATCACATGTCAACCCATCTGTCCTTCCAGATTTAAAACGGAAGAATTCTACCTATGTTTAAAACCCTTAACAATAACTTGACAAGTTCAAGTCTTCATATTGCACTAGTCTTCACATAAGAAAAATGAAAACGTAAGGCAAAACTGAGCTGCTACAATTGACAATTGGAGAATCAAGAGTGTTTTATCTCCCTCAATAAAACATGTTACCTACTCCATTACTTCCTCAATCACTTTGATTATTTTCTACTTTTTCTTTCTAAGTCATATAGGCAATGCTACCTAATCATAAACCAAACAATGCCTAGAGCTTTAGTGAAGACTTTGTATCTGCAGAAATTGAGCGTATGAAGAGGATACAAGAAAAAATGAGCTACCTTTGTTTGCTAGATATTGGTATCTGTGCAAACCCTTTTCCACAAGTATTTTGTTTTAGAGTGAATGGAACATATGTACCTACAAATACAGAGAGTGCTCTCTACAAGAATAGAACACTGTTCAAGTGTTTTGTTCTTTCCATGGAGAAAACTTAGATAGGCATGAATATCTGAAGTCATGGCTTCCTCTCCCTGCTTCAGGTTGAAAAGCGAATAGGCAGCAGGAGGAAGCTGGGCTCATATTCTTTACTGAGACTTGAAAATAAGTTAATTATATATTCATACATTAATGCAAAGGATTCCAATTAGTCTTTTATACATTTAACAGTACTGCAAATTCTTTCCTGAGCATAGGATTTCCTTTACTAGCTGTAGTGTTTACTCATACAATCTGTAAAGTTATCTGTTTCTTTCCTAAAAGCATATCTTATGTTCTTTTTCCTAAAGGAAGTTAGCCCATAAAAGCTGGAGAAGACCATTCAATACTTGAACACCTCCAATGTTTCATCAAGATATATCCTGATCTCAGCATCCCAGATAGTAAGGTTTCCTATAAGTTAAAGAATTTAATCAACATCTCCTGAGCCCATTCATAGAACAACTTCATCACATACCAAATCAGAATATTTTTATTTTGCTTACATGCTTATTTTACTTTCACATCTCTTACTCTATCAATAAAATATGGCATACAATATTATGAAAAAAATTACTACTAGGTTATATTATTGTGCAACAAAAAGAATAGGAGAGATAGAGGAGAAAAAGAGAGATAAATCAGGAACAAAGTAACAAATTACATTGTCAGTAAAATGTGAACTTTTTGATTGGGGATGACATTTATTTTAAGTATGCAATGACGGCGGGAAATCTGTCAGGTTAAGACATGGCAGAGGTTTCAACGTTTGTTAAGAGTGTCATGGGAATTTAACTAAAACTGTTAAAACTGACACAACTGGCTTTGGTTAACACATTAAGCATAGGAAAAGCGCCAGTCAGCATATCCTCTGTAGCATCAGTTCAGTTAAATTATCTGGAAGATGATAAAACTGGGTGGGATAATAAATGCTACTTTTTTCTCTCTACACATCAATAGAGGGAGGGGAAAAGAAAGAGAAGGGGCATTTGGACAGAATTCTGTTTCCTTCCTTCTTTTTTCATAAGCAACTGTTTTGTAATTTAAGGAGAGGGAGAAGGGGAGGGGAGGGGGAAGGAGGGAGGGAGAGAGAGAGAGAGAGAGAGAGAGAGAGAGAGAGAGAACATGCAAATTTGTGTGCTGGGGAGGGGAGGTTTGCTTTATCACCTGAATAAAGCAAGCAGAGAACATATTACTACACAATTAGTTCCTCTATCAGAGCTGAAGTCCATGAATTCTTACACGCCCTTTTGAAGAGCTGTCTAAAATATTCTATTCTACTGTGATGAAACTGCAATGTCATAGGTTAGCCAACTGTCAGAACAGAAGATTATAATGGAAGATGTTGCTTTTTAGGAGAGGACCAAGTGTTCCATTATATGGATACTGCGTGATGTTCTTGATGAGGGTAAAAAATTCACCAATGGAAATGATGAAACTGATCTCATGTATAATGTATACTGAATTATAAGGTATTTCATATAAATCAGAAATACCTTATGAAATTTACCTTTATTTTTTATTTTCTTATGAATTTGTCAGTAATGCTATAAAAATAATTTCAACTTTTTTTTCTTTCAGATTCATTTCAACCTGCTCAATATCTCTTTCATTGTAAAATAACACTAATAAACCCATCAATGAACTTTTCAAGAGGGTGGGTCTTATACTTCGGGATGTCAAATTGTAGGTATGGAACAGATCTGTGATACAACCATGTATAAAAGCGACAGGCAGTTTTTTTAAAAAAATGACATGAGTGAATATTTCTCTCAGTGTTTCTGAATGCTAGGAGATAGGCATAGTGTGCTCCAAAAGTCCATACTGAAATATACTTAGCATGAATATAATATGTGTGCATAGAGAGGAAATTTGGGGTAATTTTTTAATGTTTTAATATGATTGTCTGTATTTTTATAATGATTGTTTTTATATAGTGGTTTTATTTGATTGTTGTACACTGCCCAGCATGACTTCTATAAATTTGATAAATAAATAAAAATACTAACAGAATTCTATATACCATTCTTAAATCTACATTAAAATAGTTTTCCAACAGTAACTTAACTGTGAACTTAAATGTGTCCAGATTCTAAAATCTATGTGCAGTGCAGTTAATGCCCATCTGCTCCTGTCTGGTTCTGCTGAAAAAATGCAGATGCAGAATTAAACATTAAAACCAAAT